AAGAACATGCTGTCGTAAATGAGGAACAGAACTCTCACCTTGGCTGCTACTGACTCTCTGTGATGTTGGGCAGCTGTTCTCTGTAAAAATGCAACCTATTCATAAGTCTATTTTGAGAATTTATGTAGCAAACAACTTTGTGTTATAAATCAGGATTAGTAAGCACAGCACCCAGGCACATTAAAATAGAACCGCAACTAGTTACAGAAAACTGAATTTTTAATGTCATTTTCTTCTGACAGATGAACCTTCTAACAATTACACAGAGGTCTTCAAGACACCTAGGAAATAAGAAGTTAACTTGAGTGCTTGTGTGGCTCCTGCACTAATTCAGTGTTGCAGTTTCACTTACACAGATCCCCTCAGCTCCTCCCTAAAAGAAGGATTGAAGAGAGATGAAGCACAGACCAGTTCTTCCAAAGAATCTGGGACAACTTTAGGAACTGAACCTTTTCTGCCCAAATCGCAGTTAAATCCCTTTTGCAATGAATCACCTTTCTGATATTGCATGAATGTACTGCAATGTAAAGGGCACCATTCCAAAAATATGCAATTAAGTATCAAACGTGAACTTCAATGTAAAAAAAAAGGGTTGATCCATCTTCTCCAAAGCTGTAGATGTGATGCCATTTTTGAGGCAGCTGTTAGTTGTCACACAGCTAACTCCAATAACTGAATAACTGTCTTGAATTTTAAAAACTACATTGCTTTTAATGTCTACATTCAGTATGCAAATATTCTAGAGAGAAATTAAGTCCTAGAAAAGAGTGAATTAATCTGTCTCCCAAAGTCTCCAAATGAAGATCTCACACAGACATGGAAGACATACTGTGATCAAAATAACCTCAGCACAAGGGCATCCACTTCATAGTGTATTTTCCACTAGAGGTCAGACTGGAGGAGCTAACAATCCAATCTAACCTTTAAAATCTATGTTGAGGAAAGACAAACAGAGTTTTGGAATTTTTAAAATCATTACTCAATTAATACTGCATTGCTTTACTTAAGCCAAATCACAAAGATACGTTTTTCTAAATGCCCAACACCTGGAGTTATTTAAACACATGAGCATTTTAATGTAAGTCAACACAACCTTTTTCAGAGCATTTGATGTTCCATCTTAGTTGGCAGGACAGTGTTTATGTCACAATGAAAAAGAGAAAAGGCTGTCTTCAAATTCAGCACTGGAATGAAAAGCATGAGAAAATAGGCAAAATACCTATGACTTTTAAAATAGTATTTTTAAAATTTTTCTTTTAAAAATTTTCTTTTAACCTTTAGAAAGATATGTATTTACAAATCCAGATTTAATCTGTTTCTATGTAAAAAACAAAACAAAACAAAACTAGGAAGACATAGGGCTAAGCATGGATTTACGACTGTAACAGTTCAGCTGACTATAAAATATTAAAACTCACAAATGATTTGAACTAGGAGCCTGAACTTTCCTTCTTCTGTGTTTTGATCACTTTGCAACTTCATCATTTTCAGAAACAATGTCCAGCTTTTTAAAATAAATACCTTGAAGGTAGTGAAGTTAAGATGTACACTTCTGAAAATTCATGGAAACATTTAATATACTATCAAGAATTTTGAACATTTACTTCAGTGTGATAGGACATGAAGTCACGTTCAGATGGCACAGGCAGTAAGCAAACGTTCTCCACAAGCCATTGCCTAAAGTATATCTGCCTGTGGCCATGAAAACCAGAACAAAGTAATTTCGTCTAATGCCGCAAAAGTTCAGCCATAGAGATGAAATCTAAATTGAGAAGTATCTGATATGTCTGTGCTTTTAAAAACAAAGGAGCACATGAAGCTCACTTGGAGGTGAAACCACCTCACCAGATCAAGCCAAGCAAGCTAGAATTGTAGAAGATTCTTGGTTGGTCTTTTTTTTCAAATGTTTGTCATGGTCTACATTTTTCTCTACCTTCACAAGCTCAAAAGCCACTACCTGCTGATAACAGCCAGTCATTTAATTAAGAGTTAAGGATTATTTCATTTAATGAATTATAATAGAACCAGATCATCTCAGTCCTTATTCCACTGTAAATGGCAGCTACAACTAGGGCATGTCTCACATTACTCTCTACTCTTGCTAAAGCAGCAAAGCCCTATTGGTAATGTTTTCTGTTTTGTCATCTATTAAATCGGCGTAATTGATTCCATAAGCTATAAGCATCTATTTACATCTTGAAATTAAAACAAAATACTACTATTATTCACTTATTTTACTTAGAATTAAGTACCATAGGTATGACAATGAAACTAATTCTGTAACTTATCATCACTGCATAAAATCTTACAGAGACAGCTACATATCCATTTCATTTCCACACATACCCTACCTAAAAAAAAGAAATTTGATAACATACATGTTTTAAAAGAGGAAATTTGGTTTAGTCCAGGAGTACATTCACCCATCTTTCCTCCCTTCTCTCGTTATCCTAAAAGTAAAATAACTTTTTATATTTACCCCTCTACAACAAATGGGTATTATGCATATATAGTATATATATCCCTAGCACATGGCCTGGAGAACTGCAAGAGCCATTGTAAAAGAGCCACTCCAAAGCACTTCACAGAGCTGGCAGTCAGGAGTTTCACTGAAGCTGCTAAGGCAGATTTCACAGATTGAGCCTGTACCCCACCCAGATACACAGATGGTATTTGTGGGAGCAAGAGAAAATAAAATAGAGGTTTAAAATAAATGCAAGAGAAACACTGAATAATATTGAATCACTCTAGGTATTTTAAAGGGTTTCTGTTTATTTTTTTCTGCTCCTCAGCATATAGTGAGTGTATGTTCACGGATTTAAAACTACTTTGGCTTCAAATTTAAGGTCACAGAAATGAAGATAGGCTCCGGGTATTTCTCCTCAGAATTTTGTAGAGAAGTTTAATGCCAAAGAAGTTGAAATGCTGCTTCTGAGTGCGTCTGGCAATGGCAAGTAGACTGCATCACTCCTGCTTAACAATTTGTGACATTCTGACATCCTAACATATCTGTTAATTAACTAGATCCCAATTTTAGACTTAAGGTGTTACTGTTATACAATTTTTTAAAAATGGATATTTGAATACACAGAACAACGCCTTCCTAATCCCACTGTAGGCATACCAGAAAAATTCGAAGTCTGAAAATGAATCAAGAAAGAAAACAAATGAGAAAACTTTGAAATTAAGTAGATAAAAGGCTATCAAGAATCCCTCTATTAGAAAGCTCATACTCCAGAGTCTCTCATTCCACCACAAGGGCATTGGTAATTGATTGCCCCACTGGTAAAGGACTAGCTTTGCAATGATCCTTCTGACAATGGTGGCTACTTCCTTTTAATGGCTAAAAAGACACAGCTACAAAGAAGAGACAACTAGAAGGGATTGAGGGGAATATAGCTTTAGGTGGTGGTATTTGAGCATAAGGAGGCTGGGCAATCACAGGCAAATCAAGCTGAAATGGCAAGTTGACTCTGATATCTGTTGCTTCGGGCCCCAACACATGGCTCTGGGCACTTCTCCATCCATCACTGGTCATTCTCAAGCTAGGAAGAGTTGGCTGCATAATCTTACCTTGTTACAACCGTTCTATCCAAGGTAGCTGGTCTGGAGCTCCCAACAAAGTTAACAGAGAAAGAGCTGCAGGAAAACAGTACTGGAAGGATATGGTGGAGAAAAGGTACAAGGAGAAACACAAAAGCCTGTATTTTTTCTGTTGGCCCTCCTGTTATTAAGGCGATACTGATGTGGGCTTATGTTCCCATCTCAGCAAATGAAGCCCTACCATGTTCAACTTTTAATCCCTCTCTGAAGCATTCTCTTTCTACAGGACCCATCTCTGCTTTATTTCACTCACTAGCTAGACCAAATTCTTCAAAAATTAGTCTTCACTTGTTGATTTCCTACACTTCTTTTTTTAGTAGACATGACTTAAACACAGTGTTTAAATTGCAGTTAATAGCTCTTCTTTGGATTAAACCAGTCCGCATCATTTTTGACACCTCCTGTCAGCTTTCCCAGTTACATTCTAGCGTAATTCTTGAGCTTCCACTGACTTATCTCACAATTGTGGTTATATCTGTAGGACTTAATATGATAGGCCTTGCACTACAAGCTTCCATGCAAAGAGAACAGAAGAGCCTTTGGCATTTACAGGCAGCAGAAAGAATCCTTAAGCCTCTCTCCGGGCTATCCTTGGAATGGGAAAATGTATTAGAGGAACCTCTAGGGTAGAAAAGCACAAAATAAAAACAGAAGCAAGACATTAGGCTCTGATTATTGCCATTTAAAACTTAGCAGTGTCCAGCACGGAAGTTATAAATTCTTTCTTGGGTTAATTTTGCTCTTGAACTCTATTGCTATTAGGTAGACCAGAGTTAAAAAAAACAACAAAAAATGATGGGAAAGACTCTTTAAAAGAAAGTATTTCAAACTAACACATCAGAAAGATATGAGCAAAGAGCAAAATTTTCTATCAGCAGCATATTTACAAACATAGGATGACATACAAGCTAATTATAAATTTGCTTCTGAATTACCTGGTATATACATTCGGACGTGTCCCCCCTTTTATGCTGAAATCATCCCAAACAAAGAAATTTCTCTACAAAGTATCTACACTTTATCTGTTTTCAAAACCTAAACTTGGAGCAACTTCAACAAAAATTACTTCATATTTTCACAAGTGTCACTAAAGAGAACTTAGCACAAATACTTTTTTTTTTTTTTTTTTTTTAAATCTATTCAACTGAGAAAAATGGAACTGCTATGGTTTGGGTTTTTAATCCCAAAGTGGATTATACAAACATCAGTTTCATCAGTTTCTTTACAAAAAGCCTAGCATTACTTGCTATATCTTATTATTAAGGTAAATATTCTTCAAAGAACTGTATGATTGGAATCTCCATCTGATATATACTGACATTCTATTTGCTGGCTGCAGTTAGAACAGTCAAAATGAAAACAAAAATACAAACACACTTTTTTTTCTCTCTTGTCTTTATTGATTTAGACTTCAGAGCTAGAGCCAAAAATAGTACATCTGTAGAAAATTACCACATATGCCATCAATACAGCATCATCATATGCTTAGAATCATAAGCACTTGACATATCACAGAAAGAAAATTCAATCTAATATTTTGGCAATGCAGCCTTTGAAAAGGGAATATAGGGAGAAGGATCTTTTTTCTCCTCTAAAAGGAAACATATCTAAACAGGAATGAAAAGCCTCTGCTGGAAACTGAATTGGGGTCACCATGAAGGGGTTACAACGGCTCATTCAAGACATCAGCACACCCTGATGTAAACTTCACCTGGAACGGTGAACGCTACACAGGGACGCAGCTCCGTTACAGGTACAGTGCAGTCTTCAGCACTTTGTAGGCCATCGAGAAGGTCACCACGTACCCAACTGCCCAGGACAACCCCCTGCCAGGCTGGGGGAGCGGGGTCAGGTATGCAATAGTGTGCAAGATCCTAGCCCCAGCGAAGATCCTGAAGTGCAGCAAGGCTGTGGACAGCTCGGGGCCGCTCAGAGCATACAGCAGTCCAATGCCAAAGAAGGGGACAATATTTTCAAGGTCATTCAGGTGGCTCCTGGAGAAAGAAGCGAAGTTGTTTAACAGTGCTAAGTTTTATTGAACCAACCTCTTCAAGCCTCATTATTTTAAACCCTTTAAGAAGAACGCTATTGCTAGTGTCCTAACCACCACTTTCCCCTGAAGTGGGGGACTTAGTTCAGTTGCTCAAACAGTTTTGTCACATTCACCTGACATTGCCATGCTGTGTCTCTTGCAGCACCCTCTATTTTTAAGCTTTGGACCTTCTGTATGAAAGGTCTTAGGATTTTCTCTAGAACCACAGTAACAGTTTGGGACTTGCATCAGGTGTTTGACTGCATCTTGGTGGAGAGGATGCAAGGATAGGACACGGAGGAAGAGACACTAGAAGTCTGGGACTTTCTTATCACCTCTCTCCGCTGTGATGTGGATGACAGTGACTGCAAGAACTAGGCTTCTTTGCCCAGATGGTCTATTCCAAAACTAAAAACTCAGCATGTAGCCTCCATAAAAAAAAAAAAAAAAAAAAAAAAGCCATGAAATATGCTCTCACTTGCATAGTAATGTCATTTCTCCCATCTTTTTATCTATTCTTAATTTTGAAGTTAATGTTCTGTGTTGCATATACAGTTTAACTCAGAATGGTACTCAGTAATATTCAATTTGTATTATATGAAAAAAAAGACAATTTTACTAATACATTTTGATCTTGCTGTTCTCAACAGTTTCCAATGTCACTTCTGGAGTCTACTTAAACAGTAAATTTCAAAGTAAAAAAGCTTTTATTTTTTCTATCAAAACTTCAGGAAATTCAGTCATCTTAAAGAATGTTACTTTTGCGAATCTAACGGTTTTGAGTAACTACTTTGTTTTTTTTCTTCACTACTAAGTACTAAAAGAGCTGAGAAAGTCTGAATTTTGAAACCAAATATAATTTACTAAAAATCTGTTGAGACTGAACTCTAGATCTTGTTGTATTTTTCCATTTTTCTTCCTGAACTTTCCCTGTTCCCTTTACCTCTTTAGATAAAATATAATTCCAGCCAAATTTGCTGTTTGAAACATCTTCTAAGCTTCAACTAATTATGTCAAATTTCAGTGCCAACTAGAAACAAAACACAGAGCTCTTTTTCAGCTGCCTTCTGAATGCATTTATCATTTCAGGCAAAAATATCCTCCAGCAATTGTGTTTCTTTTACCAAATAAATAAACTGAAGAAAGTAGTGTTGCCTCCTGTCTATAAATGCAACAAACCCCAGTCACTTACAAAGAAGTAAGCCATGCTTAAATCTATATAGCATTCCCTGTTGCTATGAAGATATAGTAAACATTTATTAAGAGGTACTGTTGAGAGGAAAGAAAAAAAAACAAAAGGATGCTGCAACCTGCAACAGCACTGGAGTCACTAGAGCAGAGCTGAGCTAATAGTTCCATGAAAGTCTAAACACTTTTGCAACACAGTTGCATAGGATTTAAGAACAGAGTCTTTCAAAATCTGATCTGTCAACGACTCTAAGAAGTTGTTGTCATTTTCCTAACTTCATTTTCTAGTGTAACCCCTGAGATTAGACTCCAGGCGAAAAATATAAATATATGCTAGAGTTCATGGAGCTAGCAACATTTTCAAGGATGCACTGTTCTGAAAGGAGGCCCTCATTACAACTCCGAGATCCATAGCAGTTTTACTCCTTTTCCCCATTGTTTCCTTTACACTTTAGCAAACGATGTAACTATCACAGTTCATGCTCAGATTACAGAGAAGGCTGATTTACCCTTAATGCACCTCACTGCTTCATAATAAATGAAGCAGTTTGAATATTGCACATTTTGCAATATTTTTACCACTTCTCCTATTCATACTTAATATTATTCAAGAGTTAGCCATTGATTTATTATTTTGGTATGTGTGTTGACCATTTGAATATGGAACAGTTTGTTCATTTAGACAAATTACATTGTAAGGTTACAACACACACAAAAACACATAAGTTTGCCAAAGGGAAGAGGGTGAAATTATTTCCTTTATTATAAAATGCTATTTAATAACAACTTTTGATAGCCCCCCATTCTTACCTGCGCACACGTTCAACATCTGTATCAGTTCGCAGAAATTTTTTGGCATTCTCACTTTTACCAAAAGGTACATCTTCTGGGTTGGCAAATGCCTATTTGAAACACAAATACACAGCAGACATTAGAAGCAAGAACATTTCTTCTAGTCAACGGAGCTTGATATAAAGGTTGTTCATTTCACTAATGCCTCCTACTTCACATAACCCACCTGAAGTTAAATCCACTGAGAATAATACCTTATTCAGTGCACTAGTGAATTCTTGAACCTAGCCTGGTTTGCACACTGCCAAAATTATGGCAATGCAATTGATGCACGTAGCTTAAGCCTTCTTATAACAAGACTGACAAATACGTACAACCACCAACACTCAGTTTAAAGCAATTCCTGAGAAGAGTCAGGAACTGGATGACAGAAACGCTGTTAGTACTGAATGAGTTTCTTTTTCGCTATTCCTGAAGCCCTTTTGGACCCACTCCTCCTTCAGAAGGACACACAGCAACAGTATCCAAGAGGCTCCTCATTTATTTTCAAGTTGTTTCCTTTCTTCATAGGTACCAATCTTGTCAATTATAGTATCCTTTTACCTCCAAATACCCTAAGACACAGTATAAAAAATGCCATGTACTTCAGTTGGCACAAACAGTAGTAGGATCTCTCTCTGCTACCACATGCAGCAACATCTGTGGCAGCGTCTGTGGCAACATCTGCAGCAACATCCTATGGACAGCTGAGGCTATACAAGGCTCAATTTTCTGTTGTGTCCAACACCTTACAGAGCTGTCTAAAATCAGCAGAGGCCTAAATGCCTCATAACAAAAAGCAATGACAAACATCACAAACAGTAAGTTCATTTTGAGGGGGTTCTCTTACTCCCTAAGAAGACATCTCTGCAACAGGACTGCAGCAAAGTCCTCGCACCACACACTGTCTGGCAGGACCTTGTTTCCAAAAAAGGCCACTAGCAGATGCCTAAAGAAGACAGGAAAAAGGGCAAATGCACCACCACTCTCATGGGAAGCCAGAGATGGGAAGCTAGAGGCAGTCTACAGCTTATTTAGTAAATCTCAGTGCATCTCGTATAGTTGTCCAGCCTCAGTCCATGGAAACTTTTAGCCTACTTGTCATTTTCTCTCTCTTTTTTTTTTTTTTTTTTTTTTTTTTTTTTAAATAATGACCTACCTGAAATAAAAAGGCTAAAACAATTAGGGAATGTAAAGAGCTTTAAAATTACTACATGACAGGCTGACAGATGCATAAAAATTCCTTTCATATATCCTCTCCCAACCCTACTAGCTGTTTATTCACTTTACATGGCTCCATATCACACTTAGGTATCTCATTAGGTATAAAGACATCCTTCACTTGAGGCTGACACAGCACCAATAAGCCAAATCCTAAGGGCTCCACTATGGAGGGAGAGAGAAAACAAAGCCCAAAATCCAACATGGAAAAGGTATCAGTATGTGAAAGCTGAAAAGGAAAAAAGCATTTTTAATACCTTGGAATTTTAACAGAAATTTCACTCTTTTCTACCAGGCAGTATTCACAGTTTTTTACCTTTCTTCTGATCCTGTAGTACGCTGTTATACAACTCATTAGCATCATTTTCAGAAGAATAATAGTTGCATAGGTAACATAAGCCCGGAAGACTTCATTGTCAATTAGCTGGGTCACTTTAGCCATTTCTGCAATTCTCTCGAATGACCTTTAAAGAGGGGAAAAAAAAAAAAAAAAAGACTAACATTTTAATAATCAAAAGTACAAGAACATAACTGTCAGAATAGCTTTCTTTAGCATCACTACAGTGACAGCACAATTTTTCTTCTGTGAAACATTTATTTTCAAACAAATTCATTTTTCTTGAGTTTACTTTCACAGTGACATAATGTTATATTTTAAGATTAGAAATTATGCTACCAGTTATTTTTTTTCTTCTCTTTTCTAGCATCTGCTTATTAAACTGTCAAAGTATAAACCATGAAAATATTTAACACAGTTGCAAAGAAAAGTTCTAGAAACTAGTACACTTTTTCTTACCACCAGTTCGGTCAATTTGTTTTAAATAATTTCCCAAAACAGTTACTGGATAAAAAGTGTGTGATGAGATATTTATAAAACGGTTTTCCCAGCTTAATAGTTTAAACGGCAAATTACTACTGCCTACATTTTTCATAAAATAATACAATCATGATGACACTCCAGCTTAAAAACCAACCAGCATCTTCTAGCCCAGCTACAACTTGTGATCAAGGCCAATTATAAATGTTGGGTTTTTTTCCCCTTTAGTCATCCAGTGAGTAGGAATCCATAAAACTAGCAATTCTTAGCTACTAGCTGCTTCTTTCTTTTCAAAACCAAAACAACTTTCCCTTTAACTTCACTCTTTCCTAGACTATGCTTTTAATAGTAATAGTAACAGTAATAGTAATAATGAGTCACATTATGTACAACTCTAATGATCGCTGCTCATGACTTCAGCAAGGTGACAGAGCCAGGTACTACAGAAGGAGAGAGGCTCAGTTATCTGGCCACAGCAGAAAACACTCATTCCCAAAGGGCATCTTTGGTGGGAAGGTGGGGAGCATGCAAGTAAACAGCTCTGTGCTAGGTGAAATACACCTTGGCTGGGCTGGATGGGATTTTTTTCCTGGTTTAATCCATCCAAAAAGGAGTGCTTGGGTCATGGGGCCAAGCAGTGTGCCTAGGGGCTGTGAGAAATTCAATACAATGCTTTTCTCTCACATCACAGTGCAGCACTTCTCCAGATAACCGGTGCTTCAGCAAAGATTTTCTCAGGAAACACTCGGGAGGGAACAGAAACTGTAATTTGTGACTTTGTATCACACCATAAACTGGGTAGAGTTTCACAGAACAAAGAGAAAATAAATCCATAGCATCTTCAGAACATTCTTCCTCATTGAAGATGAAAGCCATGCTGCAAAAGCGCCCAAGAACTCTATGCAGAGTCACGAGAAACTATTTGCCAACTTCTTAACGTCCTTCCAACTGGACCTGTATCACATTCAACCCATTTTCTCAACTCAGGGGGTCAGTCTCTTCAAATCTCCACGAACTCCAGGCCTTAATTTCTCTAGGAAAAGACAGGATCAAAAATCTTACTGAAAGCGAGAAATTCACAGCTTTAACCCCAACAGAAAAAGGCGCTGCAAAGCCGAAACTGTACAACAGCACAGGGTTGGAAGGGTTATGCTATTTCTACTGAAACCACAAATGGCCTCATCCGGATGCAAAATAACCTTGCTGTGGCAAAGCTTGCATGCAAAATTTCTCTTCATGCAAAACCAGCACCAAATCTGGACCCCAGGCACACAGCTCCTTCAAATCCGATTCGTAAAGACACTTTGGCAAACTTTGTCCTGCTGTTTGCTTGTGGTTGCCGTGCCCAGGCCCATGACTCTGCAAAAACCCGCACAGGACCTTCTGGCACCAGGGAGTGTCAGCTTGGGGAGTGTGAGCTGGCTCCACCGTAGGCTGGGAGGACAGGCAAAGCCCACACGGGGTGACTGGGCACTTTTGGCCTTGCAAACACCCACCACGTGCCCATAATCTCAACAGGGGCGTCTCGCTGTCCTCCTTGGGGAGGTTGGTGGTAGCAAGAGCCAAACCAAGCAGCTCATCTCCCTGCCTTGCTTAAATCGGTCACCAAAGAAGCAACACACAGGGAAGCAAAGCTTAGTGGTCTGAAACCTCTGTGAAGCACCTCTGGCTTTGCACAAACTTTCATTTTGATGAGAATGAGGAAGAAGCGACTCCCCACGGTGCTGCCCCGGGGCGCAGGTCAAGCCCATCCGCCGCCACCGAACGGGAGGGCAGGTCAACCCGGCCCGCGACCACCCGCCCGCGGTGGCGCTCGAACGGCGGCGCGGGCCTCCCCCTCCTCCAGAACAACGGAATAACACGTCAAACGCCCGTGGGAAACGCTGCCGCGCTCTGCGGGGCGCCTCCATCCCGCTCCCCGCCGCCGCCGGGCCCGCATGGCGCCCGCAGGCGCGCGCCGCCCCCCTTCCCCGCCGCCGCCATGGAGGCTCCGCCATGGCGCAGCGCTCACGCACCTCGGCCTCGTCCCCTCGGAGCGCGCAGGCACCGCACCGAGCGCCGCTGCTCCCGGCCGCCGCTGAAACCCCCGCCCCGCTCCCGCTCCGCAGGGGCCCGGCCGGGCCTGCCCTGCCCGGGCCTGCCCTGCCCTCCCTGCCGCGCTCCGCCTCCCTGCCCGGGCAGGGGCAGCCGCCATGGCGCGGACAGCCCGCGCTCGCGTGCGCGGGAAGCGGGGCCGAGGCCTGCGAGGAGGAGGAAAGAAATCACAAAAAACACCCCAACTTTAAACCTCCTCGGATTGCAAAATAAGGTTAAGATACTTGGGAGAGAAACGCATGGCAGCAACAGCCCGCCCTCAAGTCAAACAACACAGATCCCAGCTCTGTGCCTCCCAGTTGTAGCAAGCTTTTAGGCTAAAAAGTTCATAAGGACTGGTGAAAATATAGACAAGAAAATATAGACTCGAGTATACAGCAAAGGGTACAGAAATAAGAAACGTAGAAAGGAAGTGAGGCGGTTTTCAAAGCTGCACTATGACAGAAAGTTAGTCTGGGCTACATATATCCAGCATCAGAGACACTGTTTTGATGCTTCATGCCACCAGGTAGCCCCCACGCTTGCAGACCTTCTGTGGCTATTCTTGTTAAACATCAAATGTGGAAAAAAAGAAATTACTTGAGCAAGGACTTCAGAATTGGGATTGTTTTTAAAACTGTCTCAATAAGCCATGAATTGACTTATTAAAAAGAAAAAGGAAAAAAAAAAAGAAAAAAAAAAAACATTTGGGGGGCTCCTAACTGTTATTTTGGGCAAAAATTGTATCTTCATACATATTTCTACACCACCTAGCATATAATATAGCCCAGTCATGTGCCATAATTAGCACTTTTTGCAATAAATTTCTAATGATTTTCTGTTACCTCTTTTTTTTTTCTTTTTTCTTTTTCAAAACTAACTCATATCTGGTGTCAGTTTAACAAGAATGTCAGTTAACAGAGTTAAACTAAGCCCCCTGTTTCTACACTTGAAAACTAAAGTTGCTTTTATATGCAGTTCTCAGAACTAGACTTGAAAATATCAAACAGCCTCAAGAAAAGACGTTTTTCACTAGATTTGTAAATACAAAAAGGAGCAGAAATACCTCCAGAAATTCTACAGAAAACATCCTTTCTTTTTCTATTTCTTATTTCAGTTTTGTAGATTATGCAATTTTAGATTCATGTATTCAATCTTAAAAAAAATCAAGATCGGAAAAGCTTATACCTTCACAGGCTAGGAGTTTTGAGGCTAACACTTTACTATTTATTTCCTAGCATTGTTTAATTCCCCTAATTCTAAGGAAGCGACAGAAAGAGGGAGGGAAGAGAGAGAAAGTGAAGAAAGGAAAGTAGGAAAACAAGAAATTGAAAAAAAAAATTGAAAAAAAAAAAGAGAGAGAGAGAGAACAAGAAAGAAGAAAGGAAGAAAAACCGGAGGTGATATTTCTTGCAAACCCTGAACCACCTAAGCATCAGGGGGAGAAGTGGATGCAAGACACCTTGTAAGGAAGGTGCAAAACTATGGCTGTGGTCAGTAAGACAAGAGTGAACTTGTGCTCAAGGTCTATTTTCTCTTAAAAGTTCATAGCAGCATAAAGTGCCTGTACAACATTTGAAAACTGCTGTGATCTAAGTGAGGTTAGATACATAACGGTGGTGATAGTTGCTCCTGAGGGGCTCGTTCTCACAGTCCTCACTCATGTGAATTGCCCCTTTGATGCTAATAGGATTACTCCTGTAAATCAAGGATGCCATATCAGCCCAGTATCCAGGGTTATGCTGATCATGAAGGGCTTGATCTTGCAAACCTCATTCACATGAGCAAGCAACTCTTTTTCATGACAATTTTCCCATTGACTTGAAGAACTGTCCATACAGCCGGAGACAGGAGAATCAGGACACAAATGTAGGGTCAGCATAGAAGTAGGAATACATTTCATTTTTCATTTAACCTCCAGCAAGGAATGGATACTGGCCAATAAGGTCAGATAAGTTTAATCATTCCCTTTTGATCACAAGGAGGACAAAAAGCTTGCATGAGCAAGCTTTAGCCATTCCGTCTCCTTCTGTATCTCCATTTAGTCACCATGATTTAACTGGTAAAGAGTGTACCAATAATACACTTTCCACACCTAAAGTTTCTGTTCATCACTACCTTGCTAACGTAAACTGTTTCCTCAAACAACAGTTTGGTAAAATTGAAAAGTAATGCCTCCTGCATTAAGTGAACTAATGATTTATAAAGTAAAACAAATCATGAATACTGTAAGATTCGGCATATGTTTTAACTTAAAATCTGACATACTGTCTAACTGCCAAAAGGAAGGTGTTTTAGAATGTTCAGTATAACAGACCATAGTCAGTTTTTGTGCTTCTAAATTAAAACCTACTCCCTCTGGTTAGCAAGTTCTTTTGCTCTATCAAATGTTGACACCTATATAATTTAACTGTGATTCAGATGCTCATACTTCAGAAGTGCTCAGACTTCTATTTAGGTTCTCTGGGGAACTGCTTCAGAAAGAGCCAGAGAGGATCTTTGTTCAGTTAGGAAGGCTTCCTACTGGCTTATTGAAGGCTTCCGCAGCATAAGCAGCCTTTTGGTTCAGTTTGTAACTCCAAAAGCTGTGTACACCCAGTGTTCCTCTTCTAGTATGGTCGGTCCAGATGTAAGAACAGTTTGTACGAGCAAAACCAGAAAAAGCAAAAGTGAAATCCCAAATGAATAGGAGGAAAAAAAAAAAAAAAAAAAAAAAAAAAGAAGTGAAAGTGACATGGATGGATTTGATTAAAATGAAGATGAAGAGATATGGAGGGGTTAATTAAGCTACAGAGGTAATATGTTCAAGAACTGACATAACAACTGAGGCAACAAAACTGAGGCCGGTTTCATCAAACCATTCTTTTTTTTTTTTTCCTCTTTTTTTTTTTTTTTTTTTTTTCCATCAAGCACTCATTTAAGCACGTTTTTACTCATAATGTTGTTCGGAGAGCAACAGATCTCAGTAGCGGAGCTCAGGTTGATTACAAAGTTCCAGTGACTCACGTATGACACAGAAACAATAGTGTGTAATTATGTAACCTCGCAAAGTAGGTGGTGACCAACAAATGGTGAGAGCAGAGAATCCTCACCAGAGTATGTCCATATGAACTATTTTGCTGTTCAGCTATACATCATTAGCACATTATTAAAAAAAGCAACGAAGCTCATCTGCTAGTCACTTAACAAGATAATGAGTAAGGTTATCCTCTAAATTCACTTGCTTCCTTCCATTAAGCACCATCACTGTTACATGCAACACGAGGATCTGAAGTCAGCATATGGACATGTCATAAGAAATAATACAAGCCATGAAAATATCTGTAAACTGGTACTCTATAGACTTTGAATCTTAGAGGCTTGGTTGAGGAGAACCTCAGAAAGGGATTTTGGCATGGAATGCATAGAGTACTGGACATACGGTACTTTGGAGGCCATGCACATCATGGAATACTGTGTTTCACTGCATGTGCATATTGCAGCAACTGCCTTGCCTCTGGAAATATGTCAACATATTAGCATATAGCAGCACAGAACCATCTCTGCAGCTGGCAGCAACACGTTTGTGCTGATGTATTTTGTCCCATGCTCCGCTGAAGAAAAGAGAGAAGAATCCCTCTTTTCCTTACTTCTTACGCTGTTACTCCATTTTTACAACTTTCTCTATTAGAAAAGCAAAATATTTCGTGTCATTGAAGGCTATGAAAGGTTCAATGTCTTTATAATGCTTAGATGTGTCAGTAGGAGAGATACTTGCCATACACTGTAGTAAGTTAATTTTAAACTAATCCATTGAGAAGAGTTATTTGTTAAACATTAAATGCAGTTGGCAGAACAAACTCTGACCCTTTAAAATAGCACCAAAAAAAAAAAAAAAAAAAAAAAAGGAAGAATATTCATGATACAGGTAGAAAGAGCTATTAAGTTTAATATCACCATTTGAACAAGGTCCAGAAATGAGAGAAACTTTAGAGAGAAAAATAGATGTTAGGACATTAGTATTTTACTCATCAAAGACTTAATATAGCAAAGAGTGTTTTTCCTTGCGTTAGTGCCACAGCTGCAGTCCAGTGGCACAGCAAATTATAAAACCATAAACCAAACTGCAAAGTTTCTTGCTGCAATGCCATTGCTGTTCTATTTCAAAGGCACAAGAAAGACTCAGAGTCAGTTTAAGTGAGCTACTGACAAGGCACAGAGCAGGAAAACTGTGTCTTGCAAGAGTCTGTCAATGCATCTCTGCAGAAAAAACATTCTTAGTCATAGAGAATCATAGAGAAGCAACTTCTTTTTTTTTTTTTTTTTTTTT